TTCAGAAAAGTGTACCAGGAGGCCGACGTGTAAGTATCCTAGCCTTGGACTTATTTTGCTATCGGATCCTTATCTTTGATTGATGAGCTAATCTGATGCAGAGCGAGGCGTACGGAGGATTTGAATCCATCCGTCCAGACCGACGAATAGCCGGGGGTAGGTCCCGGCATGAAGGCAATGCCAGCGAAGACGACCTCGAAGGCGGTTTCGAGATCGGATCTGCAGTCGCAGGTGTTGGGGTGATCGACGTAGTATTGATCTGCACCGGCTCGATGAGCTCTTTGACTCCGTCAGCGTTGATGATCCAGGAGATCCATCCGACCGTGAAGATCTGGTCGGGCTGTGGGAGGGACGAAGAGCCTGCAAAATGTACCATCTTGTTCGACATGGAAACAGCACGCACACCCCTACCTGGCGCGTCAACTGTCGACAGAATATCGTCGGCAGTCCTCCGAGGGGTATCCCACGAAGGTAGATTGATCGGCAGAGATGCGTGTAATTGAGAACAAGAAGGCAACAGAGACACACGAGTTAGACAGGTTCAGGCCGTCAGCACGACGTAATACCCTACTCCTGTGGTTTGTTGGATTATATTGACTATCGTATGATATTGCGTGTATTTAGAGGGGGTCCCTGTCCGTCTTATATAGTCCGGAGGCAGGGTTACAAGTCGGTTAGATCTAAAAGATAACCGGAAAGTAATAACATATTACAGGAATCATGGGATCATACGTATCATAACAGATCTCGTAGTATCTTCAGGATATCTTCCCGGTGTCTTGCGGGACGCGCGCGAGCAACGTCGTGCCCCGCAAGGCTTCGTCTTGTGGGCTGAGCCGCCCCTGGGGGCACAGCCCATGTGGTCTGCCGTGGGTATCTGGGGTCGTACCCCCACAATATCTAAGTCGACGGGTGCGAAGGGTAAAAAAGCTAGTCGAACCAATTAGGATTCGTTTAGGTAGGTGGAATATAGGGTCGCTTAAAGATAAGTTAAGAGAATTAATTGATACTGCGATCAGGAGGCGTGTAAATATATTATGCGTTCAAGAGGCTAAATGAAAGGGTCAGAAGACGAAGGAGGTGGACAATACATGTTTCAAGCTTTGGTACACAGGGACAGTCACGAATAGAAATATAGTAAGAGTTTTGATTGATAAGAGCCTTAAGAATGGTGTGGTGGGAGTGAGAAGACAAGGAGATAGGATTATCTTAGTCAAGCTTATCGTTGGTGATATGGTCTTGAACGTAATTAGTGCGTATGCCTCAAGTAGGCCTCGACAAGAGTGCTAAGAGACAGTTATGAAAAGACTTAGATGGCCTGATTAGAGCTGGGGCCTCGACAAGAGTGCTAAGAGACAGTTATGAAAAGACTTAGATAGCCTGATTAGAGCTGCATCTAGTAGTGACAAGTTTTTTATAGGAGAAAATCTTAATAGACATGTAGATACTACAATGACAGTTCGTGGGAGCTTTTGACCTAATGATAGCCGGCACGAGGATTTTTTTTAACCAAATCCCGCCCGAGGGGGGATCGAACTTGGGCCGGCAGGGTGCACCGTCCGACCAACCAGACAGGCGCTCGCTTGCCTGGACAATCACTTTAGCAGTGATATGTCTTCGTTACCGGATCAAAAGCCTAGGATTTAGACTGCCCAGTTAATCAGACTAGGCCATGTAGAGTGCACAGGCTCTTAGAGAGGCGTTTAGTGGGAGAGAAAAAATTTCGTCAGCAAGCGATCTAAACTTACAATGGAAGAATAAAATAAAGGCGCTTAGCTCGTCTGGTACGAACCGTTTTGTGTGGCAGCGAAGCACCCGTCACCGCGGGATCACGCAAGAACTCCTCTAGGCGTCGCTGCCGTCCTCAAGCGCATGGTTTGGTCCATCCTGGAGTACAAGCTGGCAAAAGAACAGCCCAACGGCCCATAACTGTCCGTAAGCGTCGACCATTTTACAGGCCCTCCGTGTTTTGCGTTGCCGCCTTGCCAGTTACCAAACCGGTCCAGAAAAGCACTCCTCGAGCAGAGCGGCCGGGAATTGCGCTCTCACAGCGCGGTTTTGGCTGGTAGAGCTGAAAGATCCAGCTCCCACTAGCTCCTTGTCAGGCGTGCGTGGACCCATGGTGCATTTGGCCGTGGCTGCCTTCTTCTTCCCTGCCGTGGCTTCTTCTTTCTTGCCTCTGCTTCTTCCACGACGCCGGCGTTGGGTATGGCCGCGGACCGGTCGGAACAGGCGGTGCGCGGCGCGGGGGCCAGGTGCTGGAGCGGTGGGCGCCGGAAATCTTCGGGTCTGAGCGGCCGGACCCGAAGCTCGCGCCGAACAGCGCGCGGGAGCGGGATAGCAGAGCGGGCGATACGTTAGTTTTTTTTTTTACTTTTTTTCTTATTCTTCTCATTGACTACTCTGGAGCTAGAAATTATGAACATGCTCATAAGCAAGAGCAAGACACTTGAATGATAGTCATAAGTCAAAATTCTATAGAGGGGTATATGTTTTATACCACCAAAGTACGAGGTTACAACCCATACAACCCGTCGGTACATAAGGAGTAACTCATGCTTCAACAAATCTCATAACTGGCCAAATTACTCATGAACGGTTTGAGATGGTCTGGGGAACTAGCTTTCAATTCTAGCTATCCCGCGCCCCAAATTGGTGGTTATCCGATTGCGACACAATACTTGGTTTACCATAGCCATACATGGCAAGTGATTTATACAAAAGGTGTGTTCCAAACATGTTACAACAGATGACACAATCCTTAACCAGTCAAAAGCGAGTTATATCATCCAAAGAACCCGGTCTCACCACGACCCTAATTAACCCCTCGCCAGTCATCACATAATTTTCATTAACTGTGCCAAGTTTTAGATTATTGCTCCTTCCTCGTATTTTTACACCAACTAATAGAGAGTGTTTGGTTCAAGAAATGGGTGGTCAGTCGCCTTTTCACTCCTCATAATTTTATTTGGTTCGTTGAATAGAACGAGTTGATCCATCAATAACTTATCCTTTAACCAGCACACAATTAGTATAGATACAGGACATGGAGTTATTCTACCAATGTTTATTGAAAAGAACTCATCATGTGCACCAACCATCTATGGTGAGATGATTCCTGAAACGGTCAAACCAAGCACCCCAAAATAGGTACCTATAGCATAAGATTTTGTACAAGTATATGTAGAGTCATTAGACAACTGAAAATACAATTGTACTTAGCTTCTAGTTGCAAACCTAGCTAACAATTTGTAACCGGAAGAAGTGGTGGAAGAGAATGCAGGCAGCGAAGAGCCTAACCTTTAAGGGGCCGTTTGGATCAAAGGATTTTCATAGGAAAATCAAAGGAAACCAAAACGCAAGAAAGGAAAGGGAATGGAGCATTTGGAACAAAGGAAAGTAATCTTTTCTTTTCTCGGCCAGACCCGAAGCGGGCTTCTCCCGATGCACCTTGCGCTCCCTTCCTTCCTTGGATGTTGCAAGCGTATGTTCCAAGTGTTTCAGGTGTTTCATATGCATGTTGCAAGTGTTTCATGTGGATGTTGCAAAAGTAGATCGGGGTGTTGCATATGTTTTGCAATGGCTATACACGTATGTTGCAAGCGTCTGTTCCAAATGTTTCAGCTGTTTCATATGCATGTTGCAAGTGTTTCATGTGGATATTGCAAAAGTAGATCATGATGTTGCATATATTTTGCAATGGCTATACACGTATGTTGCAAGCGGCTGTTCCAAAGGTTTCGGCTATTTTAAACGGATGTTGCACGTGTTTTATCTGGGTGTTGCATATGTTTCACACATATGTTGCAAGTGTTTCATTCGGATGTTTCATATGTTTTCACACATACATTGCAAGTGTTTCATCTAGATGTTGCATATGTTTTGCAATGGCAACACATGTGTTTCCCTCATGTTTCAAACGTATGTTGCAAGTGTTTCAACTGTTTCGACTGTTTCGGACGTATGTTGTAAATGTTGTCCTCTAGATGTTGCAAAAGTAGATCTGGTGTTGCACATGTTGCAGTGGACTCCATCTGCAGCAGCCGCCTGCTGCAGTTGTTGGGCCCGCCTGCACGAGCATGGGTGTGGAGGGGGCGCGAGCGGCAGGCGTAGGAAACTATGCAGACGCAGATCAAGACGAAGCGAGCGTCGAGCATGGAGCGGTGCGGGACATGGAGCGGGCACAGGACCGGAGTGGCGCGGAACCCTACGCGCAAGCGTCCGGACGCTAGCCTTTCCCTAACTGTTGTTGTGATGGAGCACAATTCGAAATTTCGATTGCAGGACAGCAGCACCATTTCAGGCCTGTGTGTACTGCTTATTAGCTAGCAGATGATCAGAAGTTCAGAACATGCTGTGCTTGCATTTGCATGTACTTGGAGCTGAACTTGTTGCTCCTTGTTGACAGAGGGAAGTTGTTGCATACAAGAGATCCTGGTCCTGGTCGGTCACGTAGTTATTGGGTCAGCTTTTGTCAAATTCAAATTTGTTCGGTAAACTGGTCAACTCTTAGCATCTTGAAGCACAATAGGGCAACTGATCAGCTTGCAAAGTCGTTGGAACTCGGAAGGCTGTAGTTCGACTTCAGACTTGAGCTTCGTTTAGTCGTTGAAGCAGTGAAAGCTTGCAAATACAAGCCACAGATGGATTAAAGCTCAGACAGTTGTCCGTTAACACAGAAGATCCAGAACAGACAGTGAACACCTCTGTTGGAACATTTAGCACTGTACAACTACGACAATTGACCAGAACATTTAGCACTCGTTTGGCTTATAAACCATGACTGAAAGTACTGTTGGCTGGTTTGATGTGAGAGAAAAATACTGTTCGTTGGTTGATAAGCCATGGCTTATAAGTTAAATACGACCAAGCGAACAGGCTGATAAAATAATTCTGACAAGGTAAAATCTAATTGTCAAGCATTAAATCTCTACCAAAGTCATCTCACATGTTCATTTTTTTTTCCAAATATATCTTTGCTCAACATGACAATGGGCCGTTTATCTCCAGAACTGCGCCTGCGATGCAGTAAACATGAAATGATGTTCCAAGTATGCATGTTTGGCAACTGCAAGCCTTCTCTGTTTTCCCAGAAGAATGGTAAGATATTTTGTGAAATGTGATCCATCAAGCCATAATATGGGCATCCAGTGGGGGAAAAAAAGCAGTGAAATATAATCTTCTAATGTTCCCACACCATAAAAGAGAATAAACTAATACATTGTTACACAGCAAAGGAACCATCAACAACAAAGAGCTCGCTATGATGGACTAATCTGCCAGAGGTAGCAAAACGTACAAAAAAAAGTTGTCCCAATCACATTGGTTGGCCTCGTGATATAAATGATCAAGTTTCTTTTACAGCCTGTTTGCTTCTCCGTTGGTGTACATCCCAGTTGAATACCCGAGCAATTGTAACCTGATCAAGATATCATTCCACACTAAAGGTATGAGGCCATGGTATAATCATTGCTGAATCATGCAAACTAAGATCATTTAAGCTAGTCAACAATTTTACCTGAGTGATGGTTTGCTGGTCTCGCAAGAACTGAAGATCAGCAACAAGGACTTCTAAGCTGGCCTTGGCATTTTCCAAGTTTTTCTTCAAGAGGGCATTGGCCTGCAAAAGTTCAGGAAATAAGGGGGCTGAACTGAAACAAAAGTAGCACTGAAAATATGGATGGTCATTGTTTAGTAACCTCATCACAAGAGTACTCCAACATCACATTTGCACCCAACCACAGGCACACTGAGTCGGTATCCTCAATTTTTGCACGGGAGTAGATTCCCTCGGATAATTCGAAATCAGCTATGAGTGCCTGCATCAGTTAATTGGAAGCCATGGACAGTTAGCTTTCACTGAGCCAATTGATTTGCTCTAGTCCAGTCCTAACTAGAATCGATCATGATTTTAGTGTAAAAAGTATTGAGCCTACTGCTTTGTTTCCTGCAAATGTGCACGATGTGTAGATAATAGTTAAGTTTAAATGGCACTACAGATGAAACGATTTGACATGTATGTAGTGCAGGCACACTAACCTTTCCCAATCTAAGTTGCACGGATACGGATACGTGTATCGGTATCGGAAGGCGGATACGCGGATACGACAATTTCCAAAAAAACCCGATACGCAGATACGTTTACTATTTAAAAAATAAAATAATAATAATAATAATAATAATGCAGGTCTGAATTAAAACTGATAACAATAAAACGTCGCAATTAACTACTAACCTTTCCCAATCTAAGTTGCACGGATACGGATACGTGTATCGGGATCGGAAGGCGGATACGACAATTTCCAAAAAAAACCGATACGCAGATACGTTTACTATTTAAAAAATAAAATAATAATAATAATGCAGGTCTGAATTAAAACTGATAACAATAAAACGTCGCAATTAACTACTTAAGTGTACTATTATTACAGAACAACAGGTCTCAACTCAAATATAGTAGTCTCAAATTTAGGAAATTAATAAAAGGCATTCAGGCTTGCAATTCATGTAGCAGCAAGTTCCTATTCCTCATTTGTCTCATTGTCATCCGCAACATCAACCTGCTGAGCATCCGAACCAAAAGTCTCTAGCACTTGCACTAGCACTACTCATATTTGGAGACGCCATCTACTGCATCCAAGCAATCAAGCAACAAGAACTCAGCAACTCACTAACTGCACTGCAGAAATTGAATAGATCGAGAATGGGGAGAGGAAGACGAAGTGGGGAGCAAAGAAATCAAGCAACAAGCGGCCACGAACACAACAACAACAACAACAACAAAGCCTTTAAGTCCCAAACAAGTTGGGGTATGCTAGAGTTGAAACTCAGCAGAAGCAATCAAGGTTCAGGCACGTGAATAGCTGTCTTCCAAGCACTCCTATCTAAGGCTAAGTCTTTGGGTATATTCCATCATTTCAAGTCTCCTTTTATTGCCTCTACCCAAGTCAACTTCGGTCTTCTCCGCTCTCTTCACGTTACTATCCGGCTTAGGATTCCACTCACGCACCTAAGTGCCTCTGGAGGTCTCCGTTGGACATGTCCAAACCATCTCAACCGGTGTTGGACAAGCTTTTCTTCAATTGGTGCTACGCCTAATCTATCACGTATATCATCGTTCAACTCGATCCCTTCTTGTATGACCGCAAATCCAACGCAACATACGCATTTCCGCGACACTTATCTCATTGAACATGTCGTCTTTTTCAGAGGCCAACATTCTCGCACCATACAACATAGCAGGTCTAATCGTTGTCCTATAAAACTTGCCTTTTTAGCTTCGTGGTACCCTTTTGTCACATAGGACACCAGATGCTTGCCGCCACTTCATTCACGCTTTGATTCTATGGCTAACATCTTCATCAATATCCCCGCTCTCTCAGTAGCATTGATCCTAAATATCGAAAAGGTATCCTTCCTAGGCACTACTTTACCTTCCAAACTAATATCTTCCTCCTCCCGAGTAGTAGTGTCAAGTCACATCTCATATACTCGCTTTTAGTTCTATCGAGTCTAAAACCTTTGACTCCAAAGTCTCCCGCCATAACTCCAGTTTCGATTCACTCATGTCGGCTTTCATCAACTAGCACTACATCGTCCGCGAAAAGCATACACCAAGGGATGTCCCCTTGTATGTCCCTTGTGACCTCATCCATCACTAAAGTAAACAAACAAGCGGCCACGAACTGAAGAAAAAACGGAGATCGAGAACAGGAAGGGGATTAACTCACGGAGTTCGTGGGATCCCGGATCCACGTCGCAGGGCGCAAACTCGTCGCCGGGCGCCAGCCTAAGCATGAGGCGGAGGTTTCGTCGCCGGTGGCCGTGGCCGCAGTAGGGTTTCTGGCGTCACAAGGCGGGATCTGGCGTGAGGCATGGGGCGCGTGGAGTGCAAGGCGTCGGGCGAGAGGGATAAGGGTTGTCTTCATCGGGTGGGCCAGATCCACAAGGCCGATACGTATCAGCCCACGTATCCAATATTCGCGAAAATAATAAAATTCGGATACTCGGTGGATACGTATCCTGGGCGTATCGGACACGTATCCGTATCCGATACGTATCGGATACGCGATACGCGGCTTCCTGAACGTATCCGTGTAACATAGTTCCCAATCATAAAATTCCTTCAGTTGGGTGCTTTACTGAGAATTCAATTTTTAATTTACTTTTCATGCTTAAATCTTTATACAACATAAATTATTTTTTCTCAAACAACCAGGAGAGCTGCGTGTCATTTCATTTAGGAGGAAACAAAAGGAAAAAAAACAAGGGAGAGGCACGAGGCATAATCCCAGAAACACCCCACAACATAAATTATTATTAGACATAAATGATACTGCATACTCAAGTTACTAATAACAAATAAAAGTAACAAAGTACACAATAAACAAGTAAATTATAATTCAATATATAGTTGAAGTACAGGATATAAAGTTTCTAGATAGCAGAACACAAGGTCCAAAGAGTAATAACCTAGTCCCCTGGAATAATGTAAAGGAACCAATGGGCCATGTACAGCGTCATAACTGAACACTTTATAGGCCTAAGTGCGAGTACAGCCCTAACAATAGTGTCATCATCATGATGGAAGATGAAAAGAAAGTAGATAACTCAGATTCTAGGAAATTGTACAAACCTCACCCAAATCCTTTTTAGCTTGTAATGTTGCAACAATATCCAAGCACTTCTCTATGTCAGGAATCTTTGCCTGTCAACAGAATAGATGGCTAATATGTTACATCTGATTGCTAACATAAAGTAATATTCATCATAGCAATTCAATTTTTTACCACTAATCCAATACTCCATGCAATTCAAATTTTTACCACTAATCCAATACTCTACTATAAAATGTAGGTCGTTATAGTTTTGTCCTAAATAAAAGTTATCTAACTTTGACCAAGTTTGTAGAAAAATACACCAACATGTACAACATCAAGTAAGTTTAATAATCAAATAAAAGATGAAATAGGTATTGATAGTGCATTTAATTGGTACTCCCTCTGTCCAGTTTTGTTCGTTGCCTAAGGTCCAGAAAAGTTTCCAAGTCTGATAAGTGTATTTACATCAGCCGCTGTTTTATCAATTATCACAGGGTGTACATGGGTGTTGCCCGGTTTCGCGCATGCAGCCACGTTAGGGTTTCCATATTCAATGGGCAGCGCATGCAGGAAAGTGCAGCTTGCAACGTCTCCGTATTCATTGCTGCATTAATGTGCAGCTGGCAGCATCTGATCGCACAGGGAGTTAGTTTTTCGTTGGACTCTGTGTTTTTTGCTTAGACATAGATCAAAGATGGATGGAGTGACTATTATAGATGTTAATATATTTTTCTATAAACTTGGTCAAAGTTAGAGAAATTTGAATTAGGACGAGACTAAATTGACATACATTTTAGAACGAGGGAGTAACTTACTTTAATCACCTAATGCTAAGAGGTTCATGATGAAAGCCTTACATGTAAAACCAAATCTTCACACTTTCACCCATAAGTTCACATTGACTTCAGTAGGCAACACTAAGTTTACTAATCATATGAATATCATACATCACATAAGCAAGCCTACAAAAATCTGAAGGAAAATAATATGAGCACCTGAAGGTCTCTTTGTTGTGCTAGAAGCTTCATCTCCACTATTTTGTACTGCTGCAACCTAAACAAAATGGAAAGCACATGTTATGTTTCTCCTAAAAATAAGCACGACAGATAAAAATATGAACATTCAAAGTAAGGCTATTTTGCCACAATTTGACAGAAATTCCTTTGAAAAGAAATTAGAATGAACTAATCTCAACCATGTCTGCCCTGATTGCATTTAAGGTTCCTCCGAATGAGCACACTAGTCCCACAAGTAGTACTGTCAATTTATTAGCTCTAAAAATATATCAGGATCCCAAGGCAAACAGAAATTCATTCTTTGAGCGCATTAGTAGTACTACAAAGATTCAGATTCAAAATACTATGACGGTATGACCGTTCTGAACCCTGAAATGTCCACGTAATTTACTCTTATTTTGGTACGCCATAAGAATAGCATGGGGTAGAAGATAATCTCCCAAAATATAGAAGCTGGTCCCTAGGCTACATTTTCTTCCTCCACTATGCGGGTGACAATCTCCAGACTCCCAGAGCCATGCAACCATAATAAAGTTAAACTGGACACAGGCACACAACAATTCTGCCATGTTTCATGCCTAATGATGGTCTTCCACT